AATAAAAATAAATAACAAAACAAGAAACTCACCAAAATTGTCCAAACAGAGACTGCCGACCACTACGAAACCCAAATCAAATACAAACCCTCCGAATAAAAGAATCCTAATAATATAAAAGAAAATAACAATAATAAAAATATCTCCCCTGATCTATGGAGAACTAACAGGAATCATTTATTTCCTGCCAACCATCATTAATCCGACTGATCCAATCAATAATTTTAAAAAAAGAAAAAAAAACGAATAATAAACGGTGGAAAGAAACAACAAATTAGAATAACTCAGACACCAGCAAAATCCCTTCTGTAAGCATCCTCAATCGCCTCCATCATTCCTCGTAGGTCATGCCTCGCTGCATCGTCCAACTCCCCAGAGAGCCAGGGTAAACCGAAGCCACGAACTATAGCCTTGTACAGCTCAACAGATAAATCCCATCCAACCGCCCGAAGACCAAAATATAATAATAATAGGCACAATAACAATTGAACAAAAATACATACATGCATAAAAAGAAACATGTCGCACTTATCCTGAGACATCGGCGGAAGGAAAAGAAACGCCAGACCGCGGCTGAATTAACTCCAAACTGCTCCATAATCACATCGCAATCGGCCTGCCATAACTCAGGAACTACGGAAACTCCCTCATCCTAAGTCTCAAACCATCCCTTCACGCCCTCCACTATAGCATCAAACCCGTTGACACGTCCTAAAATTCCCAACCACGAATCCCTCCAGCGACTTGCGATAAATAGCACATGTAGCTGCATCACCAGATACTAATTTCTTCCCTGTCATGCCGAAATGGATGCTCATCCACATAATCGGGCACAAGAACAGGCATAATTGACGATGAGACGGGAGATGAGTTGTCCATCCGAGTCCCTGTGGTCTCAATGTTGCCCACAACCAATCCTCCTCCGACCCCTTCCTCAAGGTCAACTAAACCTTTCCCAAAATATTTCCAAAACATCACATCAAACACTAAAAATTAAATAAACAAACGCTAATAAACAACTCATACATCCACGCACACTAACTGAATAACCACCATTCACCTCTCAACACTTACAGCAAACTTAACAATGCGTAGATCACGGGAATCGAATAATAAAAATATATAGGAATATATGAATATATAGATACGTATTCACTGTGATGTTATTCTGCAGTCCGCAATTCTGAATATATTTATGAATATGAATGTATGAGTGTGTATGAATATACATATGAGCGTAAATACGGATATATTTAGATATGTACAAGTAATATATCTTACCCAAAATGATAACAATCCACGACGTAATAGCGTCGAGCGGCAAGCGAAAAGTGTGCATGGCAAGAGGAAAAGAAATCTCAAACTGCTTTGCTCAGCAAGTTCAATGCCCAAGGCTACCACAATAATGCATAAGCCAAGAAATTAAGAAAACTCAAGTAAATATATTCTGAAACCTTCACCTACCTGCGGGTAATCACACGATCAGACACCAAATATACAGATGTTCATAGAAAAATTTAACTAAGTCGAGAAATCTTCACCCTAAACCTACAAAAATTTAAAATTACGTAAAATATCATAAAATTTTCAGAAGAGATCTTATCACTTCCATATCACTTCTCCGAAAACAGTCATTAAAGTCTCTATTTCAAAGTATTATCTTAAAAATTCAGTCCTCAAAAATCAATCCGATAACTCGAATAGTGATTTTCAGCGGGGGCTGTGATGTCCAGTCTTTGGTGTCTACTTTGGCGAAACCTTCAAACTAAATGGTTAATTTTAATTTCTATGTAAGAAGAAGATTTTTATAAACGAAAAAAAACATAAAACAGTATGTAAAGCAAACAGACAAAGAATTCGGCACATTAGTGACGAAACTCCCGACTCAGCACGCTCTCATTTCCCAATCTGAAAATTCAGCAACCGTAGAGAAATTGAGAAATGACCGATCAATCCCACCAAATTCGAACGAACCAATTTTCTACCAATAATAAATGAAAACGTGAAACATCACGAACCGTGAGACCTAAAGAAAATTAATTAACAAAAGCCAGTCTGGACACACCCACGGAGTTTTCATCATCTGTAGAAGAAATAGTCACGGAATCGATCGGTCTTTCCAATCTCTCTACGGAATTATTCATATAGTTGATATTTCTCGTGATTGTTATTGAAGATCAGTAGGTAACGAACTGTTGGATTGGACAGGGGATATTTTCCGTAAAATCGAAAGTAATACCTTTTCGTACATTTTAAGAAGAGTGTTTTAATCTCTCGTGTGGTGTGGACAGTCTCAAAGCCTCAAAAACATTTTTCCAAATCATTTTCTTTTTCTTTTGCGAACGACAAATGAAATTTTAATCTACATCAAGTGGGAGAAGGTGAATCGGCAGGAGTAAACATAATAACCATTAGTTTACGTCTAATCGTTGGTGGAGAAAAATCCGTTTCTACCCAGGTATCCACAGAATACTGTGAGTAAATCAAGATCAATATCTACAAGAAATACGTCCATGAATTTATTCTAAGGCTAGGGGCATAATCTCATTTTTATCTAAATACTAAAAGCTCTATGTAATTGTTAAATTTTAATGTACACCAGAACCTATTATTCGGATTAAAGTTAACTTAGATTTCATTAAAACTCTAAATCGTTTTGACTTTGTTTGGGTAATTCCCGATTGAGCTCTATCCTAGCTGAAATTTCCCATCAATTCTTATATGAATGATTCTTCGTCAAGTGGGCCACCTATTTTCATCATGTCTGCAAATTCATTTAAGGTGGTTTTTTCTCGGTTTCTATCTTTTTGGGGATTTTTAAGATTTTTTCCATATTTTTAATAATAATAGGAGTCTAGGTACGAGACACGTGAACGATTTATCGATTTTATTCACTCTCAACTTACTGGTGGGGGGAAAATAATTTTAAAAATACACAAAAAATCTATTTTTCCTCAGCTTTCCAGTGAAAATATTTGCAAATTTTTTCGAATAGAAAGACGCCCAAACAATGCGAAAAAACTAGAAAAAACAGTGTAAAAGCGTGATTTTGAACCTTCGGGCCGGGTTGATAAAAAAATTCAAGGATACTTGTGTTATTACACTTATCTTTCAATGAAGAGGGCATCATAGGATCACCAGTCCTTCTTAGGAAAAAAAATTGAAAAGTGAACTCAACGATTCTGATCTTTGGATATTGAGGCATACTTCCTCTTTTTTCTGGAAATTTCTATTCAAAGAGTTATTCCCTATTACATTCAATTTATTGTTCGATTATTCGATTGGCAAATAATTTTATTTGGATGAATTCAGCGTTATAAAGCTGTTCTGAGTTTATAACTTGCAAATATGTATGCCATTGAGTAGTTTTTCTTGGTAATCCCTACTGATTCAACTATAAAATGCATTTTTCTACATTCATTGAATGATAAGAAGGCATTGCGAGCTGTCGGATGAGAAAAAGCATCAGTAGAGTGCATTCTTAATTTTTTTGCCCTAAGAAGGTATAATGTCCAAAAATTTTATACTGGAAATTTAAGGCTAGAATAAATTTTATGTAAAATAATCAAGAACCAAATCAACAATTGTAAATTAAATCGAGTGCATTTCATCACCTGGACTCGATTAAAAATTTCAAAGATACTGGAATCGAGTTCAAAAGTGATGAAATGACACACTCAGCATGCCCCAATTACCCAATACTAAGATTCGCACGCGAAGGAACGATTGAAAACCGATTAATTGAGAACCCAAAAACCAAATGAACTACTTCCCCATAAAAATCAAAAGAGTGAGAAAAGTCATACGACATTTTTTTCCAATTAAAAATGGACTCATTGGAGCTCATGTGACAAGTGACCCCAAAATTCTTATAAAAATATCAGAAAAATTAAAATTAAACAGTCTTGAAGCAGCGACGAAGCAGTAACAATTCTGGTGGAAATAGTTCATTTAATCGGTCCGGTTTTTCAATCCTTCCTTCGATTGCGCGAGATAGTACTGAATTAATAGTAAGTTACGAACCATTGAAATTATCCGGGAATAAAATTTCTTTAATCGAGAGTGGTGACTTTTCTTACAAATAAGGAATTCGTTCATTGTGACGCGTTGTGGACAGTCTCAAACAAACTCTTAAAATCTTAAAATTCAACGGTCAAAATTCATTAAAATATCAACGAGTAGAAGAAAGTGTTTCCGTGAAAGTATCCGTAGTAGCCTTTAACACGACTAATTGCTGGTGAGGAAATTACGGATTTACCCAGGGATCTACAAACACATCGAATGATTTATAAATAACAGACCGAATTGTGAGTAACAACATTTGTGAACCCAAATTTGAATCCTTCAGATCATTCCAGGGTTAGGAATTTTAACTACGTAGATTTCTGTAAAATCACGCTAATGTTTTTGTAAACCTAACAGTTATATAAAATATGTTGAAATTCAAATTTGATTCCCATTACAACTCCAAATTTCTTGATTAGTAATTAGTCTCAACTCAAGCCCTATCCGTAAATTAAACCCGTTTCCTTTATATTTTAGAAAAAGTTAAGAGTATAGAACTTTGCGTCGTCCAATAAATATGAAATCTAATAATTTTAGCTTTCATTTTAATGTGACAATTAAAACATGTCCTTTCGACGCGAAAATCTTTCTCCGGACAGAACAGCTAGAATTTCATGGCGCAGTCGGTAGGACACGCCTAAATTTCCAATACTCTTATCTTTTAAATATTCTGCAATTTTTGAAACCCATTCTAGTCAATTTAATTAATTCAATTCTAATCGATTGAAGATTTACTTTTGGGAAACTCTTTTTAAATTTCAAATATTAGACTTTTCCTTGCAAAATTCGAATTCTCTTTAAAATAATTATAAGCGAAATTTTGTTTTCTTTTCCCAATTTTATTGGAAAAATCATATAGAATCTTAATCCAAATTAACTTGATCACAAATATAAAATTATTTAAATTATCAACTAGTTGAAATTATTTCCACAAAATGGTGCATCCGTCTTTCATTAATATCAGTTACTCCGGAGACTCGGGTGATGCTAATCAGACCGTTTCCTGGTACGAAGAATATGTCAAAGCTCGAGACATTGCAAACAGCATTCCCATATTCTCCTATACTAATGAGCACTTCTCTCTGGACGAATTTGAGTACGCGTTGAGTGCAAACTGTCCTCCATTCCTAAAGCAGACGGAAAGAAAGAAGAATATATTAGACAAACACTCAAACGCCTTTTACCTCCAGCAAAATTCGTAGTAGCAAACCTCTGTTTTCTGTAGAAACTATTTTTACTCACCTAATCAAGAGATTTAGAGGTCAATACGACTTGACGTATTATGCGAATAGAATACGCGGGTTGTTGAAAATTAGAAATGAACCCCTGGAATCGTTCTTGGAGCGATTGGCAGCACTGGTCCAGTTCGGTCTGGGTACGATTTCTGGGGAAAATGAAGCTGAAAAACAAGTTCTCGAAAAACACCTCCAGGCAGAGGTCATTAAGCGGTTTAAAGAATACGCCCCTGCAAGCGTGAAGGAAAGTATTAGGCGCAACAACCCAAGTAAAATCTCAGGGATCCTTACACAACTAGAAACGGACGAATTCCGGGATACAGTCAAAGTACCAGCGTTGGAGCTGATAACGGGTACTACAGGTACATCACGGAGTACCCCTCGATTCCAATCTATTCAGGGGGCTCTCTACCACCTGAACTGTACGGGGAACAAATACCACCTCAGTCGAGATACCACTACCAACAAAATCGGTCGTACAGTCAGCCATATAATCAGTCAAATACCCCGACACCATCGTCAAGCTACGGTCACCGAAACTATTCCGAACAGAGGAGGAATCAGGACCCTTCACGAGATCTAGTCACTGCTCTCCTAAATGAATATCTGCTACCCAGCCGGAACAGATATGGCAACGGGTACAGACAAACACCACCTCGACCGCCGGGGCCACCTCCATCTATACCAGGACACACAGCTCACCCTGGTGAACCCCCTTCGCACAGCTTCAACTCCGTCATCGCTTACGGTCAAACTCCAAACGAGGAGGACGAATCTGACTATGAGGACCCAACGGAAAATGCGGAAAACCCTACCACAGACCAGATTCTAGCCCTCGCTAACATTTTGGCAGTACACCAACGTCCTCATGCAGTCCCATCCAAACCTAAACAGAACCCTTCTGATATGGACGAGATCAAAAGTATGCTCCAACAGCTTGCGTTGAGTTTGAATAACCCGCAGACTCAGAATCGTCCATCGTCAGGCTCCAGACCACCCTCTAGGCCTCCCTCAAGGGAACGAGAAGAGAGAAATACCCTGCGAAATCCTACGAGAACTCAGCAGAACAGAGCCAGCCCATCCACAGATGGAACCATTCCAAAGGAGACTTTAAACGAGATTGTTGCTCGCCAATTGAGTGCGATGATGAGCGGCCAAAACCAGCACTCACTCCACACAATGTCGAGCATGCATCCCAGACAGTAAAACCCATACTGTGTAGAGTTACCGGCGATCCTCAGATTATCTTTCGAGGACCAAATGTCATCTCCCCAGGTGTGAATGCATTAATCAACACCGGAACCTCTATAAACCTGATATCGTTCCAGTCATTGGTGGAAAACGTCCTCATCGATACCACAGAAATAATCGGAATCGTTGGGTTGTCCAATCACGTCCTGAACTCCCTCGGAGTAGTACGCCTCGCAGTGCATCCTGAAGTTCAAATAAAATTCCACGTGATTCCTCACCAGCCAGGGGGATATGGAGCCATCATCGGGGATGAAATATTGAATGAGTTGAAAGCTCACATTTCCTTCAACACAAACAACATTAGTTTCAACATCGCCCCATTGAAACCTATACATTTCTGCCTCCCCAACTGTCCAACGAGAGGAAAACCTTGCCGGATTGCACTTAGCGGGGTCGGCCCAAGGATAAACTTAAAGGTGAAGAACCTCATCGGAAACCGACATCGATTTCTCATCGACACCGGAGCTGATATCAATCTTATTCAGAGGAGAGTCATCAAACCCGACGTAAGTATTGAACCTCCAAAGATATTCTATCTACTCGGAGTAACGGAAAATGCATTGCCAACATGCGGTTTAGTCCACCTGAAAATCTTCGGCTCTCTCGCACCATTCCACATCGTAGATCATCAATTACCTATCGAGGGAAGCGGAATACATGGGTTAGAATTCCTAATCCAAGAGAAGGTGCACATACGGTAAAAGCAACGGAATATTACCACTCTCAAGAGGCCTAACCTGCCAGTGAATTGGTATCACTACGAGAAATGCCATGGGTCAACCGTCATCCCTCCAAGAGCAAGAATGGCCAGCGAAATCCCTATCAAGATATGTCGATCGTGTCTTTACCGAAAATCTCAACAAAACCAGGCGTCTATCTAGGCGAGAGTGTGGTCAGCATAAGAGAGGGGATGGTCTGTATCTTCGCCATCAACACCACCGAAAAACCAGTTCACCTCCATATACCACCCTAGACGGTAGAGGAAATCGATGAACTCCTAGAAAGAACCGAAATATTAGCAGAACCTCAAGAAACCTTCGCCTGGTGCAATATGGGAATTGTCCCAGAGGAAAATATAGGACTGTCACCTCGCACATCAAACGTAATAGAGGCCCTACCCGATCAGGAGCTTAAACCCTTCGAACGCAAAGAGGTGATTGAACTAGTAAAAGAGTTCAATGACATATTCCACCTTCCGGGAGACAAGCTTGGCAAAGCTAAGAATTTCCAGTGCAAGATCAGAACCATCGATGATAAACCTGTCCATAAGCGGCAATACAAGTACCCTCCTCAACATCAGGAGCAGATAAATCGACAAATAGACAACCTGTTGGAACGAGAAATCATCAGGCTCAGAATCACCATAGAACTCACCCCTCTGGATTATGCCAAAGAAAGCCGACTCCAAGGGAAAGAAGCGATGGAGAATGGTGATCGATTTCCGACATCTAATTCAGAAAACGATCGGAGATTCCTATCCGTTACCCAACATATCGGAAATTCTATCACAATTAGGCGGAGCTCAGTACTTCAGGGTGTTCGAGCTAGCCAGTGGATTCCACCAAATCGCGATGGATGAAACAGACGCTGAAAAAACTGCCTTTACCGGCCCCAGCGGACACTACGAGTATATGAGGATACCTTTTGGATTGTAAAATTCATCCCAAATCTTCCAGAGGATGATGGATCAGACGCTAACTGGCCTGAAAAAGACAGAACTCTACGTCTACCTAGATGACGTAGTTGTTTACTCCAAAACACTGCCGGAATACGTCACCCGTCTCAGGAAATTCTTCAACTGCCTGCGGAAAAACGGACTTACTCTCCAGCCTGATAAATGCAAATTCTTCATGAAGGAGGTAGCCCATCTGGGACACATAATCGATGACCAAGGTATTCATCCGCATCCAGCAAAGATAAAGGCATTAACAGAGATGCCCTTCCCACAAACCAACAGGGAATAAGGAGATTCTTAGGCTTCAGTAACTATTATCGACGATTCGTGAAGGGCTACGCAGAAATTGCACAGCCTCTAAATGATCTCCTCAAGAAAAATGTGAGATTTAAATGGAAGAAAGAACAAGAACAATCATTCAAAACCCTCAAGGAAGCCATCACCGAGGACTCTCTACTGTTTCCTCCTGACATGAACGAACCATTTATCGTCCATGTTTCCAGTACCCAAAAGGGCATTGGAGCCATCCTCAGCCAAAAAGATGATGAAGGAGACGAACACCCTATCCTGTACGCATCGAGAGCACTTCGAGATGCTGAAACAAGATATACTTCAGTCGAATTGGACTGCCTAGCCGCTGTCTACGCCTTAAAGCAGTTCAAACCCTACATCGATGGAGTACCCTTCATCATTATTACTAACAGCCCAGCCCTGAACTGGCTCAGAGATTCCAGCAACCCTACTACGAGGCAAGTTAGGTGGAAAACCTACTTGAATGATTTCACGTTTGAGGTAGAAGTCAAGAAACAGAAGAGAAATCAGCTAGCAAACGCCTTTGCAGAAAATCCTCTTCAAGACGAACGTGAGAAAATCGTCATGTTCGCAACCTGCATGCCTGCTCTACCAGTACCAAAGTTTAGTGTGAAAACACCAGGGACAATCACAAATCCTAACCGAAAGGTTAGAATAAATAGTGACCCAAAAATTATCACCATCACAGCGGCGGAAAGCTCAATTGCCGACAGGCTTCGGGCTAGAAGAGCAACAGAAACAAATAGTGGCACCCGGCAACTGATCTCCTACAGATTGAATCGGGATTATAACATGACACCCAAAATCAGCAAAAACCCCACATCATCTACTCGGGGCACCACAATTGAGAACAAACCAGAGACAGTGGAAGAAATGATTCCCACTCCATCCACCCCTTCGATCGTGGAGATGCCAGAATCAACTCCAACAACTACAGGATCCAAAGAACCACCACTACAGGATGAACCATCAGTAATACCTGACGAAATGGAAGACCAAAGAAAAGAAAATCAACTAGAAATTTCTCTTGAAGGAATCCCAACGGACGAAAAGTTGGAGGATGACGCATTCATCACAGATCAAAACTCCACCGACGAGGAAACGCCTTCTATAATCGAAGCTGAAACTCGAATAGAAGAAAAGGACGAAGAATCAAATCCCACACCACGTCCACCAGTGGACATGGAACGAATGGAACGAAACCTGGAAAAATTCTACGAGTATATGGAGAAAATCTCGGAAAGGGATGAGGAAATATTCCAAGAACCCATAGAGCCACTGCTAGACCAGCTGCTACCACTTTACAAAATGAGGAGAACCAATCTGGGTCCAAAATTTAAAGAAAAATTGAATGGATCCTGTCAAGAATTTGAGAAGAAGATGGCTGAGTTACAAAACCAGTCCAAACCCCTAATCAATTAAACCGACAAAATCTCAGAATTGACGAGCTCCACCGACCAAAATTCTGAAAAAACAGAGAAGAAAGAAACACCTCAATCCAGATAAGTAGTTATATAATGCTGGTTCTGGGGCAACGTTTTTGGCGTCGACCTGGTCCTTGGGGCACAGTAGGGGGGTCAGATGAAAGTGGATGGATGGGTGGTTGATTAATTCGCGGGGTCGCGCTTTATTTCGCGCTTTGATTCGCGGTTCAATTCGCGGTTTGATTAATTAATTCGCATTTTATCCCTCGAAGTGATGAAAGTGTTAATTAATTCGCGGGGTTGCGGTTTAATTCGCGGTTTGTTTCGCGGGGTCACGGTTTAATTCGCGGTTTAATTCGCGGTTTAATTCGCGGTTTGATTAATTAATTCGCTATTTTTTCCCTCAAAGTGATGAAAGGGTTAATTAATTCGCGGTTTAATTCGCGGTTTGATTCGCGGGGTCGCGGTTTAATTCGCGGTTTGATTAATTAATTGGTCATTTTTCCCTCCAAGTGATGAAAGGGTTAATTAATTCGCGTTTTAATTCGCGGTTTGATTAATTAATTCACGATTTTTTCCCTCGAAGTGATGAAAGGGTTATTTAATTCGCTGGTTAATCAATTTAATTCGCGGTTTTACGTTACGAAGGACCTTCTCGGTGATCTAGTCAATCCACTCCGCGAGGGGGTGAGTGAAGGGGTTAATTAATTAGCAGGTCGCGGTTTGATTCGCAGATTAATTCCGCAAATCACGGCTCAATTCGAGGATCGATTGATTAATTAATCAATTAGTATACCCAAACTTCTCAGTACACTGCCGCGAGGGGTGAAAGGGTTAACTAATTCGCTGCTGTAGAAATCATAGAAGGGGCTCCTCTTCTTCTTCAAACATTGACACCTGGCTCCACTTGACACGTCTGAACTTGAGTTTTCCGGTACTTTCCTGTTTGCCGCTCCCATTCGTGGGAAATCATTGTTAGTAATGATATCAATATATAAATATTTATTTTAAAAAACATTTTCCTGACACGTCTGAACTTGAGATTTCCCGTGCTTTCTCATCTGCCGCCCCTCTTCGTGTGAAATTGTTGTTGTTAACGATATAAATATGTAAAAATTTATTTTAAAAGGAAGAGTTCAGAAGGGGAGGGAATATGTATATCTGCAAAGACAGAGGATCAGTCATCCAAAAACTTAGGTACCCCCAGCAATTTGGCATAGTCCTCGACAAATTTTACACTTTGTAGTAGGAGGAGTTTCCGAAAAATCTCCATCTGCTGCCAACTGATAAGGATGGAAATGCATTGGAAGATGTCCGAACGCAATCTTTTGGTTACATAGACTTTTTCGGTTTACCTGGGAACGCACGTTGTACACACAACCCTAAGAACATGATGTTTGACAAACTGGAGTAGAGTTTTCGGACCCTTTGATATCCTATCGCACCGCAAACATTAAATGTTATCCAGGACATTTTACAGCTATTTTTTTTCCCACAAACAAAAAATGTTGCTATTTTGTTAATAATTTTCCATGAGTCACATG